ACCTGGAGGTGGGGGCCCCGGTGTACTTTGTCACCACCGGGGGCTTCAACTTCTCGAGCACGGAGGGCATGAACAGCATCTGCTCCAGCGCTGGCTGCGACAGCTCCTCCTTGTCGCAGAAGATCCAGCATGCCACCAAGTTTCCTGAGCAGTGAGTGCCCTGCCCACGACCCCGGCTGTGCTCACTCTTTCTGGTATCCCTTGCTGCCTCTCTGCCCCAACCTGCCACCCATCTGCTGCCCTGTGCCCGGGAGGCCCAGGGTGGAGGTCGGGCCCCCGGAAGGCCCCACCACCTGCCCGCTGGTCCAGCCCTGACCTCCTGTCCCACAACCCTCAGGTCTTACTTGGCCATCCCTGCCTCCTCATGGGTGGACGACTTCATCGACTGGCTGACGCCGCCCTCCTGCTGCCGCATTTATGCGTTTGGCCCCAATAAGGACGAGTTCTGCCCCTCAACTGTCAGTGAGTGAGAGGCCCCGGGGGCCCGTGGCCCGCCGCGGCTGGGAAAACTGAGGCACGGGGAAGGCGAGGACTGCCAAGGCTCGCTTGGCCCCTCGCGCCCTCCTGCGTGGTCGTTTGGGGCGGGGGCACTGGCTCAGAGCACGTGTGAGTAGCTGGGCCAAACGGGGTGCTGTTCGGCTGAGCGCTGGGCACTCACGCACCCGTGTCCTCCTGAGCTGTGCTATGCTCCCCAGGCACACTGGCTCTTGCGGGCAGCGGGAAGGGGAGTGAGCTGAGGTGGCACATGTTTGTGAGTGAGTGGACACGCCCCGGAGGGCTGCTTCTGTGCTCCATACTCCCCTCCCTCGGCTGGCTGTCGGCGGCTGGAGGGGAGAGGCCTGCAGCTGGAGAGGCACGCGGGGCATGCGGGCCTCCGCCTGCCAGGGGCAGGGAGCGGCAGCGGGAGGGCAGGCGGCCCCGGGGTGGCTGTCTGGAGTCCCCGCTGTCTTGCAGGCTCCCTGGCCTGCTTGAAGAACTGCATGGGCTTCACGCTCGGCCCTGTCCGGCCCTCGGCGGAGCAGTTCCGCCAGTACCTTCCCTGGTTCCTGAGCGACCCACCCAACATCAAGTGCCCCAAAGGGTAGGCCAGGAAAGGCGCCCGGCGGGGAGGGCAGGGGTGGTGGGCTGGGGCTGGTCCCCGGCTGAGCCTTGGCTCTGCCCTTCCCGCAGGGGCCTGGCAGCCTACAGCACCTCTGTGGACTTGGGCACCGACGGCCAGGTTCTAGGTAAGCATGGCCTCGCCTGGAGCCCACGGACTCTCGGTCTCACGTCTTCTCCTCTGCCCCTCCATGGGGCTCTGCCTGCTCCTTGGAGATCTGTCACTGAGCCCCTCGTCCTCAGGCATCACCC